AGCTATCCGTGTACCGGTTTATTGTCGGACCGGTACATACCGCCCGTACCAGGCAGTATCATTCGAAACTGTATACCTTGATTTTAACTATAATTCAATCTATGAAATGTTCAAGCTAACTAAAACTTACACTATATAAAGGAACCAACAGCATAATAAACTATTATTTTAGCTACACTTTCTAACATAAAAATATAAGTTAAACACACAACATTTTACTTATTGGTTGTTGGATATGTTACTCCAGTACGCAATATAACAACAAGAACAACACACCAGAATATCTTTACTATTTTGGTTAGCTACATGGATTTTTTTCTACCATTGAGCTTTGCACTAGGTAGACAAATCATTTCTAAGTTCTTCAATATTATTTTACAAGAAAATGTGTAACCACCTATGAAGTGTACATGAACGAGGTTGCAATTGGCAGTTGTATTTTGGCCCGACTTGATCAAGGCACTTAAAATTCACAGTAAAAGGATCATGTTACGTTAGGAACATTTTCACCCCACATACTTCACCACATTTTTAGATGTATTTATTCTCTTCAAAAAAAGTTGATAATAAACTATTTTGAGCAATGGACTATTTATCAAACATCAAAAGTTCGCTTTTTAATTATATCTACATCCAACACAAGGATATGTTGACTCGGCAGCTAAGATCATCAAATTGTCAAAATAAATAAGATGTGAGATGCTTGAGTTTGGTGGACATGCTCAAAACTTTAGTCACTAATCACAACATAATGTTGTTCATCTTTTCACAACTAACGTGATAATTGTTCTTTTCCAACCAAAATTATTTGATTTACCACTTTGGGATTTCTTTTGAGTTGTACATCAGTTGAGTGTTGGCATGGAATAGCATGCAACATGCAAACTGCAAGTAGGCATGCCCAGCTCTTAAATCTATGATTGTCACTATATATAGAACCTAATCACTACAAGTACTTCACCACAGTTTGCATCAACCACAAAAAGCAACTGTAAGCAATAAAGAAGATAACAGGGCGCAGAAGGAGCCAAGCATGTGAAAGAATATAGCAAGTACAGAGGATGTTGATTTCTACAAGGAACATATAGCTAAAAGTACAGGATTAAAAGAATCAAGGCTACAAGGAACAATAACCTAGAAAGTGTAAAATAAAACATTAGGACGCTAAAGTCAACAAAGAGAGAGAAAATTACATTTCCCAAGAGCAATGTCAACTTGATCAATATGGTCATTTTTCCCAAGAACATTTCTCCAAACTGCACAAAATCAAGCTGATTGAGACTTAGTAGAATTCTCAGAAAGAAAGGGAACCCAAATTAGAGTAATATAAATATCACCAAATAAATTTACTAACTATGCATAAAAAAAGGTTTCCTACTTAAGAGTAATACTACTTTGGAGTTTGGACGATAAGCAGAGGCTGAATATATTCACAACATATAGAAGTCAAACTCACATATAAAGCCTGTACGGAGGTCAAGAGAGGCAACAACATTCTCTTCGGTAGATACTACTACACGCTTTCTCCCTGTCTTTTGTGTGTGAAACACAGCATGTTTTACTTTACCAATGTACTTATGATGCCTGTATGATGAGAAAAGTTGGCTTAAACTATTCGAGAGATAACAACAAAAAAAGAACAAATCTTCAGTTAATACACTGCTAAAAATGTTTAGAGCAACAGGTGACATAAGCATCATAAGAAAGAGTAGCACAAGATTATGATAATCATTGTTACTACTGCAACATGGTAATGAATAAGATTAACTTGGTGAGCCACATAATCCACAATTTGTCAAAGAGATGCTTGGAGTCTTAACCTAAATTTTCTTATTTAAAAATTCCTACAGAATATTCTAAAATCACATATGTACTTGTCTCTAAATGGACACCTCCAAAGAACAAGAAACATATAAAATAGTTCAATATTCATATGACATGCAAATACAGATCAATAGGCATAAGTAGATCGAATGATTCATGGGTTATCACATGGCTTATTTTTCAACTTATGTTCCATATCCATTCCTCGAAATCAACATAAACTTATTTTTTCTACTCAAATCCTGTAAGCTGAACATGCACCTCTTGTTTAGGGACAGCATCAAAATTTACACTCGGGAGAGAGAAGCATATAGCTGAATAGATGAATATCTAATTCTTCAAAAGAAAGATACAACAAATGGTGGCCATGATTCTTTTTTTCTTCTTCTTATTTTTCAACAGAGCCAGGCTAAAACTCTAAGCATCCAAAACTTGTACTGGGAGCCTATCTTATCTTCATTTTGCATGTAATAACAATATTCATTATTACACTGAAAAGTGCCAACTCAATGCATGCCTGTGTTTCATCCCATTTCAAAGTTGTCGTTGGCATATAGAGAAAGGAAGACAACACAATCTCAGATATTTCTTGAACAGGAAGAAAATTCACAGGGCAAAGGAAAGTAAAATAGGCAAGTTAGCCACTATAGCACAGCTACAAAAAACAGATGTTGAATGGTTAAGGTAATAAATCGAAAGGAATGTAAACAAAATCAATTTCAAGAAGATTTACAAATGGATTCAATATCAAGCGAATCATAAAATCAAATCATCATATCATATTTTGTGGAATAAAAAAAAAGCCATCCATAACTGACCAAACGTTGGCCAGGATCAACTTGGGAGAAAATGATACAAGCTGGAGATTGATCAAACCATATCAAATCACCAATATATGTTTGAGAGAAAATGAGTACAAGCTGGAGATTGATTTTCAGAGAAAACGAGCACGGAGATTGATCAAACCATATCAAATCACCAATATATGGTTCAGAAGTAGTAAGAACTCATCAAAACGAAACAATTTTTTAGGAAACTACTAGGATAATCTAAGAATTCCTTTGAAATTCCACGTCATGCCATGTTCAATTCCTTTCGGATGCATCATAGATATGCTATTCCATGATATAATTAATTTCTTTTGACTGCAATCAAGTAGATACAATTTTGCAGAGCTGTCACTCACTTGAACAAGTTAAATCTATAACCTGCACAATCAAATTCCATGTTCATCTACAAGTTCTAACCAAACGTATACTATCTAAAAATTCCACCTTTACGCGCATACAAATACCCAATCCTAACTGGTACCGATTACCTTAGATCACGGAAGATCCAGCTGTAAACACTACTCGAAGAGAACACGATTGATTCCTCAAAAACCTATGTATAATTTGGTTTGAAAAGAACGACTTGGTCCAATAAGAAGTAAAGCAACAAAGGGATCCCGGCGGGAAGAAGAGCGAGGAGATCGATCTACGCACCAATCTGCGAGCCCGACCTGATCCTCGTAGAGCGCGGTGGATAACGTCGCCGAGAAGAAGAGGGAGAGGAGGATCACGAACCCGAGACGAGCCCTAATCGCCATTGCCGTCCGCGGCCGGAGATGCGAGGAACCCATAACGCTAAGGCACCTCTTCCAAGTGCGACGGCGGACTCTGCTTTGCAGTCGCTCGGGAGCCCCTTCGTCAACGGGCCCAGTTGGCCCACTTAATGTTGGGCCAATTCGGAACCATTTAGCCTATTTCATTAGGGTGGCTACGGGGTTCCAATCCTAAGATTTTTTCCATTTTTGGCAAATGAGAACGAATGAAAACAGATATAATCCCAAGGTTTTGCCATCAAAAGATCATGTCTCCTTTGGCCTCCACTAGGATTTGTCCCTTCTAATATAGATATTAATTACAACTTAGACTCATACCGTAAATGCGTCCAATGTATTTGGGAAAAAAATAAATAATAATAATAACAACAAAAAAAATTATCTGATGAAATACAAAGTGTCCCATGCCAAACGATACCGATCTGTACCGAGCAATATTACGAACCTTACTGGCTAACTCGAGTTCTTCGTGTTCTTCAAAGAAAAAAAAAATTGTTTGTGACTTCATTTTGTAACCTCTAATTTTACTTCTGATAATTGGGAGATAAGAATATCCACTGAAACGGGCAGAAATAATAATTGACTAAACATATTTCACTGAATGATCACTTAGATCTTGAGGAAGAACAAATACTTCTCAGAAGGACTCATATGTAATCAATCACCTGTAATCTGTTTTCTATTGTGAGGAGCTTCTGTAAAGTTTCTAACAACATATTGTATTTTATTTTGAGATAGAAAATAAATTATATTTCTACATTGCAACTAAAACTGCATGCCTCAATTTATTAAGCACATGAACTCAAAGAAAAGTCATCAACCAAAAGAAATAGCAGAAACAAACTACCATCTCAACATATATACTTGGCAGGCTAAGTTTGAAGTGTGACAGAGAATACAATTGATTGGCAATTACATTCCCTTTTATGAAACTTGGAACATGAGCTTTGTTGCGCATTCTATATTCTCTTGCAATTGCAGCAAACAACCATACCTTTCATTTGCAATAAGGTATCTTAACATTGCATTACAGGTTCTAGGAAATCTTTGATATCTTGGGATGCTTCTGATTCTACTTTGGGGGTGATCAGAATCATTCACCTTTTCTGTGCCTTCTATTTGTTTTTAGCCCATAAATATTCTCAAATCATCCTATGTAGTTTGTTCTTGCAAAATTATTGGCATAGATTCCACTCCAAATTTTCAATTCAAACTCAGATCCTAATCAAGGTGATGTGCCCACTGGATTTTGTAAAAGGATCATATCTTATACTAAATTCAGCTGTTGGCCAGCAGCACATTGGATGAGGCCAGTGTGGTTTCTGATTTCCTGAATGATGCAGACATAAAGATGGTATGGAATTGCCTACAAGTAGTTTGTGCTGAGTTTGATTGAGCTGCCAAAGAAGAATCTTGTCAGCCACATCTTCCACATCAATATGGAGTATCTGCTGCTACGGATTCCAGTGTCACTCACCACTTCACTACAAAATCAAAATGTTCAAGAGATCTCATAACAACTGAAATGTTTAATCCAGTTAGCATTTCAATGTTCTGAAGCTATAGATAAGAGAAGACTGTCCTCCATAAGCTAAAAATCCATCAGAATCCCATTCTAAACTCCCTTGCTCAAGGTTATAATCAACTCTAAATACATGACAAGGAAATGAGAGCCTTAATTGGATTTGGCTGCTGGGTGTGGAGGCCTGAAGCTGCAAAGTGGATTTGGTAACGATGATTCAAGTCTGTATATAACAACAAAATCATGCCTTTTGTTTGTCTCTGCTGTTTGCATGAGTGTTGTGAATCCATTTTCATTTTTTGTTGAGGAAAAACTGGGGTTACCTCATAAATTATTCTCCAACATGACCATGAATGAACTGCAGTCTATAGTGAGTAGTACATCAGGGGAAAATGTTTTGATGAGGACTCATCAGAGAAAGAAGTTTGCATCACCATGCTTTGATAGATGTTACAACAGTGAGGTAAAAATAGAACAAGACAGCAGAAAACACATGCATCATTGCATGAACAAACTTGCTGTGTAAAGTTTTGATGCTTTTGTTAGCTAAGAATTAGCTCAAAGAACTACTTGCCAAGCATGACAGAGCACTTGCTGGGACCAAAATCCACCATGGTCTTCCAGCTGATCCAGAGCTTTGATGAACAATGTTATATTTATTAGTTAATCAGATATTTATAGAACTAGGCTCTATCACTAGCATCGTGCACTTGGTTTCTTCCAAGAGAACAGTATGAACAAGGTTGTTGCAGTCCATGGCAGCATCCACCAGAGTGGATGATATCCGCAAGCCACTGGAGATCACTGTCCATGGATAGAACTCAAGCTTAAAGAGCCAGATAAAATAATGTGCACATCAGGAAGAGGATCAGTAGGATGTTGAAGCAAGATCTGCCAAAGAACCAAGTAAAAGCATCCAAATCCCAGCATGAGTGACCCAGTGGACCACTTCATGTTGATATACTTGTTTCCACCATGTCTACCACTGCCACCACCACCACTTCTTCTCACCTATAAATACCTCCGACAAGCACAGCATCTGCAGCAAGAACATACAGAAAGGAAGCGGAAGGATAAGCACAAAGAGAGGAGAGATGAGGCCCGCAAACTTGTCGGATTCAAGTGTGCCAAACGTGTGGCAAACTCCAGTTCCTTACCTCTTTGGGGGTTTTGGTGCAGTGATGATACTTATAGCAGCTGCTCTCATCATACTAGCTTGCTCCCACCGGAGGTCGGCCATTAGAGGTGGAAGCTCGGAAGAGAAACCTGTGATCGTTCACGCAGACATGGAGCCAAGAGTGGTGGTGGTGATGGCCGGAGACGACAAGCCTAGATTTCTAGCACAGCCATTCTCCTTGGTTCAGCCAAATTCTCTCAACCAAGATCCATGATCATGGCTGGTTATGTTGTTGCATCCAAGATTTTTTGTTCCTTTTCTTGTCTCTGCTTCTGTAAATTTGTTATCCATTTTGTCTTGGTGGTGTCTTCCAATTCTGAACTCTTATCTGTGATGATGATGTTGAAGTGCACCATCAAATCTTGTTTCTTGTTTCATTCCTGTTTTCTCTTCAATGATCTTTGGAAGGAAATTACACTGAAGAATTCAGAATATATTTGACTTGCAGGTGAAAATTATTATTTGCTTTTCTTACAGGTCAAACAATTTCCATGAAAATAAAATTCTGTAAGACATCAGAAACTTTTGTTTGTGTCATTTGGACATTCATTTTAACAAGTTCTTCTAGATTTTAACTAAACCATCTGATTTGAGGATTGAACTGGTAAAGATTAAGAAAAAAGTTGACTAAAAATGAAGTGAGTGTCCAATATGTTCAATATTCCAGCAGGAAAATTACTTGTTTCTATGTTCCACATTTTGACAAAGACTTTTGGCCTGTGTTACACACCTATCTATTTCCAGAATTTGGTTGTCAATTGAAGTCAATGGCTGAAATGGAAGGCAATTTCGACAACTATTTAAACCATAGATACAAATATTTAGATAAGCAATCATCAAATACTAAAGAATATGACATTCAAAAGAAAATGACTATTAAGTTTTCATTTCCTGCAGTCACATAAAATGCCCAGAAATGAGTAGAATTCAATCCAACACAGTGATTCTGCATGCACATTAAATACATTTGTCAGATTGCCATATCTATCATTTTGCAGAGAACTCCGATGCTTATTAGATTCGAATCAGTGGAAAGATACCAGTAAAGCTCATTATTAATTGTCAAAAGATTCCCAACTAAATGTCTAATCTAACCGCTGACAGCCAACAGATGTGTACTGAACTTTCTTCTATCGAACAAAGATATGTGCACTTAGCTTTTATCACACATCTCCTTTTGGATATATATGCTATTGGATAAAATCACTTTCTGATCAGCTGCCTGAAATCTTCTTCTGCACATTACATTTTGGTGGACTTTATTCCCCTTGAATCCCTGTATTGATCACATGCCTTTGTTGAAGTGCAGTGGACCAATTTCTCAACTAAAAGATTGTTGAATGCTCCAGAAGAGTTTGTGTGTCAAAAACAAGAAGAATCAATAGTAAGGCATACACATGCAAGCATGAAATGTAAAAGGGGTATACCAGATATAGAACTTGGCATCACCAAATTCACATGATGAGGAATGCTAACCAAGAACCTTGTTTCAGAAGCTTTGATGTTATCATTTTCCAATCACTTGATACCATACCAAATCATAATTATGCAAAAAAAAGGTAATCTTCTGGAGATGCTAAACTGATCTTCTTACACAGGAAGACACCACGTATCAAATCAAAAGGCTTGTGCAACAGCAGATTGAGAATCTCCCTCCGGGTTGAATTATGCCTATTCCGACACAGATCAACACTTGAGATGATACAAATAGTTGAACAAGTGCAAGTGTACTGATACGTGTAATAGTTTGATGATGTATAAATACTGCAAATATTCAAGTTTTCTTCTTTTCGGGATACTATTGCCATGTTGATCCTGAATGACAAATACATGTACCACAATGAGCTTGTTAGTTTTCACTTCAAAGGAGAAGTTTCCCAGAAGATCCAATGTGTCTCCAATCCTCCCCAACAGAACCACCATTTGCAAGAAACATAGCATACAAAAGACCAGAGAAAAATTAGTTTTTTTCTTTTTGTAAGCTTCACACATCAATTACAGGTCCCAGAGGAAAGCTGAAAGTCTACCACCCTTCAGATGTCACACATCATGGTAAAGCATCAAGTTTTGGAGATGGACACCATAAACACAAAACATTCACTAGCTTGACATCATAACTTGATCACATGCCTGTAGCGCTTGGCCAGCAAAATACCTGACATCCACATCTGGGTCCTCACTGAGTTCAACCAGACAAGGTCTAATCGTCTTGTCCACCACCTGCCATACATCAGAAATTGGGCAAAATTCAGATCGATGAGAAGAATACGGGCATAGGATGAGTTCAACAAACTAGTACTCACAGATTGGTCAAGTACGGAAATAAGGGACTGCAGAACCTTTGCGACATTGAA